AATTACTTAACTTTGTGGTTTGCATAACCATTTTCAAAAAAATAGATTTATAATTAGAAAGACAGTTTTAAATTATAAATAATAAAATTAAAAAAATTAAGTAATTCATTATTGTGCTGTTGCTGCATAGTTAATGTAATAGTTAATTTGATGATTTCGATGAGTTAATTAAATTTCTGTATTTTTAAGTTTTAAATTATACTTGGTAGTTTTGAAATTTTATTCTTGGGGTATTGTAGGCTATACAGCATTGCATAGTAACCGGTCAATACATTTTTTTAAATACTTTAATTAAGCGTAACTTCTTATATTTTAGAGCCGTTTACCATTTACAGTGATGACACATGACACATGATATTTAACAATTTATAATGAGTAGTTATTATTAGTCATAAGTTTTCATTATCTTTTTTGTTAAAAAATTCCATTTAATTTTTTTGGATAGGTGAATTCAACTTTTAGCTTTTATTTTTCAAATATTGTCATTAACTAGCTATTGCAATCGTATAATGTATTTTAATTTACTTTCAATACGTTAATCAAATTATTTTTTCTTCAATGTGTCTATAAAAGCATTGAAGAAAAACTAATTTGAATATATTTATGAAGAGAACCTACATAATGATGACCAATGAGTATCTCTTAAATTGATGATCATTAGCGATTTCTTTTGTAATTTGAACGTTATATTTGTTGGATTTTCTCTTTTTTTTTTATCAAACCACATTAGTAAGTATCTTTATTATTAATTGGTATGTTCAGTATTTTACCAGAAGATTGAGATTAGAGACCATAACGTTATAACAGTTAACCTGATATCATTAAAATATATTAAATGTACATAATTTATTTGATAAATGGTTATAATCAGGGTTCATAACTTATAGCTCTAAAAATGGTAGTAATAAATGTTATAAAAATGCTCATAAAAATATTCATATAAAAGCAGATATACACTAAAAATACAAAAATTTAAGAAAATAAAAAATTCATGTAAAAAAAAAATTTCAAACTCTTATTAAGAGTATTAAAATACCGATCGCGTCACTATATGATACAAATAAATATATAATTTATACCAAAAGAAGAAAAATTAATTATCATGAGTTAATTATAAATATAAATAATTAATACTACTATAATTACTTGTTATTATTAAGAAAAAAATATTTTAAATGCTACGGAACTAAAAAATATACAAAAATATGCAACATAAAATTTCATATTTAGCTTCTTAGTTATCTGAAACAAATTTATAGCTCACATAGGTATTTTTAGGATCTCTGAAAAAAAATATAATTTCTACAAGTTATGATCCTTGGTTATAATCAATGAAGGTATTTCTAGGATGATGTAACCATAATGTATAAATATTCGAAGAATTTATTTATTTTTATTTATTTTTCAAAAATCAATTAAAACATCAAGAATGTCCATTGCAAAATAAATTAAATGTGTTCAAATATACAATTTGAACATATTATAATATATAATGGGAACAATTTTTTATAACCGTTTCCAATAATCTAATATTTGAACACGACTATAATATGCCCAAGGGATAAAATAATTATACAATTTACCATTGGCGAACAAATTAATACGTTTACAAGTAGGCGACCAAACTGCAATATTATGTACTATAATAATTTGGCAAGGACCGACGTGACCGCCGATGGTTCACCGACCTCCATGCGCTAACGGAACGGCGGCGCACCATAGTTGCTAACCATAGCAGTGGTTGTTCTTTGCTCTCGCGCTCGGAAACTGACAGTAGGTAAATAAATTCGCGCAATAAAATAATGATACAAATAATAATAATAATAATAATCATAATAATAATAATAATAATAATAATAATAATAATAATATACTGCATGTGTACAACGCAATGTGTAATCTACTTAAATTTTATAATAAAAAAAACACTCAGTGACGCCCGTCCCTTCTGCAACGGCAGTCGACGACGCGTCTATTGTGTTTTCGACAACGGCATGCAACGTTATATCTTGGATACAGTTAGAGTAGTTCTGGAAGAATAATATGCATCCCTCTCCCCGCCGTCGTAAATAGTACACACTTCATCGCTCTCAAAATATTAACCGTAACTCTACCCTCTATGAATTTTCTTTATTTTAAAACACTTAACCGGTTATTACGACAATATTTTTCGTACGTGCCTATTTTTTTTTCGTACCTCCTTTATTATGCTTAATTTTATTGAACAGGGTTATTGGTTTCTTATTGGAAGGAGGAGGAAGAGGAAGCTGGTCTTGAACAAAAGAATCTTTGAACCGTACTGAAGCGACAGCGATAGCGATTGAGAAATCTGTAGAGTTCTATTCAGTTTTTTTTTCAGTGTCATATTTTCGGTGATTTTTTCCGTTTTGCATACCGGGTTTTGAGACGAACTCGATACTCGTCTAAAAACTTGCTGCACTAGCGTATGTAAATGCATTGTATAGAAAAAAAAAACAATTTTTATGTTGGTTTGATTCATGATATCTTTTTCTATGTTTGTACGTACATATAATATATTATAAAAATAATTATTTCTTATTCATTATTTATTTTTATTTATTTCCGTCTCGAATGAACATTTGAAACTTTTAAATAGGGATGTGCAAGTCCATGTTTTATGTTTTGTTCATTAAATTAAGATCGTATCTATATTTACCTTCTCAACCTATAACAATTAATTATAAAATTGTCAAATTTACGACTGTTTGAGAGTTCTATATTCTACACACATTAAGTTGTGTCACGGATAAAAATGCCAAAGAAAAATAAAGAATCATATTTTGCAACACATAAACTATCTATTCTTAAACGGGGAAAAATATCGGTAGTATCTACCTACGTTGAATAATATACTCCCGGCATGAGGTCATCGACGGGCAAAGAGAATCAACCTTCCATTACTCTTTTTTTCTTTATTTTTTTTTATCTATTTTGCACACCTCTTTATACATTTTTTTTCTCGGTTTGTTTTCCGTTTTGTGCATATATATATATATATATATATATTTATATGTATATTTACTTGTATAAATGTATTTATTCTTCTGTGAAGATGACTTGAAGTATGTAATGTAGCCGAAAAAACACGCACGCGCTCAGTCAAACGTTACGCCGTACATAACGGACTTGCAACTGTTAAAGACCTATGCGTATAGTTCTGTATTGTGCATGCAGAACTAACTGGTAATTCTTCACATTCTAATATATTATCCAACACTCCCAATATGACTAGATTCAGTGTGATGGGTTTCGAATTTTAAAACAATTAACGCACAATTGTATCATATTATTATAATTTCATCTTAATTAGCATGTTATTGCTTTTCTTTAATTCGCTCTTTCGTATCAACGAATTATCTCATAAGTATCGTAAAAATACCAGTATAATTCATTACAAGGTTAAATAGAGGATAAATAAAAATATTCTCTATCATTAATACACGTTAAAAGTTTTTATAATGATAAATTACGGACTATTTAGGAATGATAATTAAAAAAATAATAATTTTTATTTATTGAAAACTATAAAAAGGATTCACAATTATTTTTGTTATTATTCGACCATCAAAAAATACTTCATACGTTTTTGAAGAATATATGAAGGATGAAATAATATAAACATACTTATAAACGTCATCTTTTTCATAACTACTTAAAATTATACACTTATTAGTTATGGCTAATAAAGCTAGAAGTTTTAGTCCACCACTTCTGCACGTGTAGCATTACAGTAACTTAAGTAATTCTGCGTTGCATAAATGCGCGTTCGCTGATGACCACAGAGGCAATAACCTTCGGCATTCCATGTTTCCCTGTTTTTCGTTCACCACACATATCGTTAACATGTATAACGGTATAGATAACAAAAAATATGTCTTTCATATCAATTTAGTTTAACTAATGTTTGTCTATCGAAGTTAGATGTAGAGATTTGAAAAATATGACATTATGAACATCATTTTCATGTTAGTAGCTTTACAAATAAAAATCTATTGATAAAATATAATAAATATATTTTGAATTATTTTTTAATGATTACATCTATACATACAATATATTTCAATTTTATTTAAGGAATGCACTAATATACTCGATTAAAATAAATTTTGAAGTTAGAACTATTTAACATTTATTCCAATCAGTTGTAAATTTGTAAATCGAGTTATATATATAGTATATATATGTGTGTGTGTGTGTGTGTGTATTTTAACTATAAACAACATAAACATTATAATTTTTTATTTTTTTCTTATTTGTATGCTAGTGAAAATTAATACTAACAAGAACTCTGTAATGGTAGGAAGAGGAAAAAATGTATAGAACTATTGATAAAATAGATGATTATGGTTCGATGACACAGTAATTAATGTAAAATGAAATGTTGTATACTATTGATTGTAATTTATACTTCAATTTAATAAATTGATAAATTGATTATTTTTAAATTAAGTTATTATATTTTCAAACTGATTAAATATCAATAGATTTTTTGACAATTCTAATTGTAAGTTGTTCAGTAGATGATTTTCATTAAGTTATAATTATTATAAAGTCAATTTGATTAGATTATAGAATTTTAAAAATTGACAATAGAAAAAAATCTAGATGTATAAATAGTAAATTAGTACACATATATAAATAAATATTTTAACTGAAAAGATTTACTTAAAATGTATTGACACAGAAAATTAATTCATTATATTAAAATAGGCATCAACTAGAAATAACTTTTAAATTAGGTAATATTAAAATACATAATATATATGTATAAATATTTCATACATTTATTTTTAAACATTTCAATCAAATAATAAAATACAATAAAATACATTTATTGATATATGATAAATATAATTTTATTTATAATACATAATTATATATTGGTAACTATGTGCTGGTTTTTTTTAATTAAAAGAAAAATGTCTAATAGTTGTAACTGTTAAACTTAGATTTATATATTTTTAATTATGTTATCACAGCAACAAAAATGACACTATGACCGAGGGTGCAGAAGGTTGCAGCGACGACCCTCTGGCTTCATTGCAGTTAGACGTTGCATCGGGTGGTCCGTCGTCGCAGAACCAACAGCCAGAAAGTCAAGCGGAAGTGTCCACATTATGCATATCACCGACGGATGACGATATCGACAAAATAATTGCTGGTGAATGGCACGGAGGAGAATGCAAAAGTATGTATGCAACTTGTGAAAAACGTTAACTTATAGTGATTGATCAAATCTTCATATAATTTTTATTGACAAATTAATTTAACTAGTAGATAATACTATATTTGACATTCGACTTACAATTTTTTAAATAAGTCATCAAATGTGTAGTAGAATTTGGATCATCCTATTTATTCCTAATTTTAATGATGTATTTTTATATCTGTTAAAAGCAGGCTGCTATAGCAGGTGTGCATTTAGAGAATGGAGACTAGTCGGTGACAAACTTCAGTTATTCTGTTTTAAAGACTATGATGCGCTGTTAGCTACTCGACCAGCAGTAAGTCAGTTGTTATTTAGTTATTACAATTTTTCTCGTAATATTGCAATGTGCTATACGTTTATACAATGTATAATCCTACATATTTTACAATAAAAATTAAAGAATATCACAATATTCTAAAATACAAAAATAGTATTCTGATCACGTCAAAAAAAATGATATTTTTCTTTCAAGTATTACATTTAGGGCTGAGATTTTTAAACAAATGCATATTTTTTTTTATGTGCCAATACATAGGTCCGTAAAAAGAAAATGTGTTTCAAGTGATATTAATACATTTTAATGTAATTTTTATTTCGCATTTTTTTTTTTTTTTATTTATTATTACAAATGTAACTTAATATGCATTTTTAAGGCATATTTTTTAAGATTTTAGAGCATTTTTCTGAGTGTATTTATAAATTCTTAAATAATAGTAATCTAAATTGATAAACTAATAAATATGAGTTCTGGTACTGGTACTTGGTACTGATGTACCTATTTTATCAAAAATAGAACAAAATTATTGTAGTCAAAAGACATTTTTCTATTTATAAGAGTTCAACGACGATCATAACAAGTTATGAAATAAATTTAAATAAAATTAAACAAATAAGTACTAATTTTGTTATTAAATAAATAATATTAAATATATTTAATAACATGATTTTTATAATATAATTTATAAACTATAATAATTACATTTTATAACGAATTTTTATAGTGCATTAATTATGATTTTTAAAACTTTTTTCATTATTTTTTTACAGCATTTTTTGCTATTTTTTATATCATTAAAATCCCATTCCTAGTTATATTGATCGTTAAGTTTTATCTGCTACAGTTTTAACTTTAAAAACCAAAGTTAATTGTTTCCAAGTACCTAATCAAAAATGTAATTAATTTTTGATAACTAATATATGTATAGGTTTTTATTTTCATATCATACATTTACTGAATATTATATGTCGTATAATTTAACAGTAATAATAAATCTAAGAATTTATGCTTATAGGGACTTATTAAAATGTCATTTTTCTATAGTTTCCTCACTTCTTTCGATATATAATTAAATAATTACAATTGAGTAAATATCATTATAATAATAAATGATAAAGTGCTGTTATTAAAAGAATTATAAATTATGTATATTACTATAAAAATTTAGACAATTCTATACGATTAAAAAAATCAAAAAGAATATTTTCGATAAGACAAAACTAATGCAAGTTTCCCTCTTGAACACATATGATTACAGATAATCAATATACAATTTTGTTTTCGATTCAAATCAAGCCCAAAATGTTTGAAGCATCCGAACGTACCAAATGCTAATTGTTTTATATTCTTCGATATAGTTTCAGGTAAATTTTTCAAGTAAATATAAAAGACCTGTCTAAAGAATATACTGACTGTTTTTCATGTCACGCAATGGTTTTGTTACAGGTGACATCCATAAAAATTGGATGCAAGTGGTGCGCCGGTTGAAAGAAACGTCAGCTAACGCTACACCTGCTCAGCTGCGACGCTGGTCGCGAGCTGTGGACGAAAATGGCAACACAGCACTCATATTGGGCGCCAAACGGCTAATGAATTGCGGTTTGTTTAAACGTGCGTACCAATTTGCAGTTATGATGTTAAAGTTCGGTAGCGATGTGAACTGGTTGAACAACGGTGGTAGATCATTGATCACGTACGCTGTTAACTACATGGATCAAGCGATCGACATCACTAGACTTTTATTGAACAGTGGAGCGACAGTCTGGCTCGAAGGTGAGATATTTTCAAAATTATTATTACATTATATTATTATATCTCGTATTAAGTTTTACAATAAAAAATATTTTGTATGATCAATTAATAGATTATGATCGCTCATAATCGGATTATTGCCTATAAATCGATATTTTAATTTACAATAACAAAAAAAAATTGATTATTTAAAGCCATTTAATGCAATTATTATTTGTATGTTTCTTATATAGACTGCAACTCAGATGCAAGACTTAACTATGTAAAAATAGTGAAAGAATATCGTTCGAGAACGGAAACCGATCTGAGATGTTTAACCGACGATCCGGTAGAAAGTCCTCTTGACAGTATATTCACTTGGTTCCTACGTTCTGTAATGATCAGAAGGCGTTTAGATGACAGTTGTTTAGGCACACTGGATTTACTCTCGCAGGTATTTACATACTTATTATACAAATGTAATGACACAATTTGGCAGCCGTATTGTTTTCAATTTACTACGACTTTGGTCGTATTCCTCATGTACTGGGCACGGAACTTAATTTGTTTAAACTCGTTAAAAATTGTGTATTAATATGAACTCAAAATACAGTTATAATAATATAAATTTTTTTTTCGTTTGTAAATTTGCTAAAAATAATTTCAAAATATACAATTTAAATACTAAAAAAAAATAAATTTTAATTAAAAAAGCCTTAAATATGAAAAACATGTGTAAAATATATAATGCTTATAAAATTATAAGCCTATATAGGTCATAAAATGATTTCAATAACTAAATCTGAAACTCAAGTTAGTATTCGGTTCTTGTATAAGTTCTGACTTTTCGGATGGATTATAATTACCTACTGTTAATTTATGTAGAACTGCCTAAACTATTTTGATGTCGCAGTATACATGCTATACTGGGCATATAGTCCAAAGCTTTACGTTTTTATAATTATTGTGACTCGCACAAACACGCTACACGTGATTACAGTTTTTTTTTTTTTTTTGTACTTATTTACTAATTGTTTTTGATTTATTTTTTTTCGCGACACACAGTCAATGGGTGAGGATCCGACTAGGATGCACTCGCACGTCATGCGCACCATGTTCAGCCACGCCCAGTGCTACAACATATTCGGACCGGTGTTCTTCCAGATCAAAAAAGTCTTGGCACCCCAGTGGGTGCAACCACATTCGTTGCAGCAGTTGTGCCGCAAGTCCATACGGCGGTCACTGTTCAGCGGTTGTCAAAGTAACGCGCATCCGGAAACGGTAGCCGAGCTGAACCTACCCAAGCCCTTAGAGTCTTATGTTTCGTACCACAATTGATGAGCTTCCTCCGTCGTACTTCCACATGCCCTTGTTCGGCGCGTTTGAACAATATCAAACGACTATTTTCGAGCGCGCTAATGCCAGAATTTCCGATCCAAGCATAATAATATACGAATTACTCACGCGTGTTTTTCGTCCATTCTGTTATTGAACATTTCATACAGACGTCGCTTACCGTCATCACGCGCCAGACATTCACGTTCGCGTCGTTTTCAATAACTACCTACATTCTACTAATATTACATTTGAGAACTGACGCTTCCGTGCCTACAGGCAAACCTACGTATATATTATGTGTATACTTATTATAATGCTGTAATTGAATGTATAACAATCAATTCACCTTACCCGTACCTACACAAATATTAACTATAGTATTATGTAATATGGAATCGATACGCAGCATTTTGTTTTATTCCTCGATAAAGTAATAGTTAGCACTGCCCGTCAAATGCCTTGATTGATTGAGTGAATTTTAATAAAATAATTTCCCCACCTAAAATGTAATGGAATGATAATCAGTATGATTTTTTGAGTCCTCAGAGTAAGCTCGAAATTTGATTTATTTTGATCACAAAATATTCTTGCCACGCAATGTTATATAATTGTATATTAACGTCACAAAAACGTTCATTATAGATTTACATATGTTTAAATGATAATAAGATATAGTTTAGTTGTAAGAAATTATGATTTATATTAACTTATTAAAATGTATTTAAATATAACTACGACACCTAAAAAAATACCCTGTTTTATCCACAGCATCGGTAATGTTATTGTTTTTGTAATTGCATTATTTGGTATAAGCCTGCAACTCTCTTTACCTGATCTCTAGAGAATGCAGAAAATCTATTATTATTAAAATTATTATTAATCACAACAATTCGTTCAATCACAGGTTTATCAATGTTACTGAATTCAAAGTCAGTCGTATACATATTAAGATTACTGCCGTTAACATTTACATATTATTATTATTATTAACTATTATTTAATTTTGTAATTAATTCCTAAAATTTACTATCAAATTACGTAAGATCTTAAAATATTTATAATACTATTATTGAGTGTGTGTATTAAATATATATACGTGATTGCGTGAGTGCATGTGTGTGTATTATCTAGTCGCAAAGTAGGCGACCAAACCAAAGGGTAATCTTATACATATTATAGAAATTTGTTGTTTTAAATTTTAAACTATCTACTAAAATTGTTATTTCATCCTATTGATCAATTTCAACGTATATTTAAACTAGGTGATACCTAACTATAATTTTATTTTAGTATAAATTATTTTTAAGTAGTTTTTATTTTGTACTCAAAAATGTTTTGTGTGTATTTGAAATTTAATTAAGTAATAAATTTAAATTTACCTAATTGTTTTTTTTTCCATGAACTGATAACACGTACATTAAGTCTAAAATTATTTTTACAATTACTTTTAATAATTTTAATTTTTGAAGTTAAGAGCTAGGCTTAGGAGTTTTCTTTAGTTTAATTTTTGTTTGTCCTTTAGTATCCACAGTACATGATCGTTGAACATTCTTTGGATCAATTTTTGACAGAAGTTCTGATTCGAGCTTTGAAAAATAACCACCTGTTTACGAAAAAAATTATTTACAATCCATGTACGTGCAGTTTTTTAAAATAATAATAACCTAACAACAATTTACAATAAAATATATAACCTACCAGATCTTTGACAAAGATCAATAGGGTTGTTTGTGGTTAACATTCGACTACATTCTGCGTTTGAATTATTATTTTGATGTAACAAATGATGAGCAATTTGTCTAAAACACCGTTCTTCATATTCTCTCTGATTATCCTGGTTACAACGCATGGGTGCTGTCAATGACCATTGATAAGTACCAGAATATCTGAAACGAAATCAATTATTTATAATAGTGATACAAAAACAATAAAATACATGAAACGATTCAATATTTTAAGTAAAATGTTCTGGAACTAAAGTCTTACTAAAAAACAAATTTATGCTAAAGAAATCAATTAAATTTTATGCTCATGTAAAATAATATATTACATAAAATACATATTTATTTATATTGTATTGATTTCGGCCGCACCACCGGCTCACAGTGGTCTGAAACCTATTTTTAGGTTGCGAAAAGCTGTATTCCTAATAGTTAAACAAAAATATTAAGCTATTTATGTATGATTAATTAATAATACCTATATCTTTGTTTTAATTTTCTAATAGCTTTTGAAGTCCGTTTAATCTTTTGTTGTTTATTATTATAAGTTGTTTTTTCTGAATGATTTGAATCACTGTCACTGAAACTTGATAATGAATCCTCAACTTCTTCAAACGAAGATCCAAATGATGAATGGGTTTCATTTAGTGGAACCTCAGTCGATTCATAAATATTATTACCTTTTTTTTTTTTAAAAAAAAAAAAAAAATTACTTCTATAATGTAATTATGTTTATACAATATTTGTTTTACTTATACTCGGCGACACAGATACTCTAGCGAAAGGTTTGTCCCACAATTCTGTTAACAATGGTTTTTTATTTGATGATGTACCCATTACTACATTATCCCACCAAAACTGAGATTTTTTGCATGTTCCTTCACTTGAAACTAAAATAACCAATAAAAAGGTTCATATTAAATTACATTTTTATACAAATACTTTGTACTTAATGTACTTTTTAATTACCTATAAAAGGAGTAAAACGATGAGATTCAACAGCCCAAGCCATATTTTGATCACTATTACCCTTTACATCGCCTGTTAAATGTAAAAATTAACCACAATAATACAAAAGGTACTTCAAAATAGTTACCATGGGGATCTATAAGTTTTGAAAAACCATTCGAAAAAAACATCGGTGGATCATTAATGGTTAATGATGGGAACATTTGCATAATTTTATATGTTTCTATTTCTGCTGTATGTTCAAGTATCGGAATATGCTCTCGATAGCGGCAGCCCTGTTTAATTACAATAAATATATGATATTCGGCAATGACAACTGTTATTTATTAAGTACTATTAGTTATAATTCATTAATTATGATTTGTGTATACCGTCAACTCATTATAATGTATGCGTTGGTGAGACTTAAATAACAAAAAAAAAGTAATTGAAAAGAAAACCTATCAAATATTTGTATTAAGATTTATAAATAATAGACTATGATAAAAAATAATACATTTTAATTTTAAGTAAATAAACTATAAATATTCAATATGAATGGTACATACAATTATTTTGGATATAGATTAGCAATGTTAAATATTGAAAAGTTTGGTATTTATTATTTATTGATTAACTGATAACTTTAGAAAATTAGTGGTCGTACTTCTTAAATACTTATTAAGATATAGTTTAAATCAGCGATTCTTAACTTGTGATCCGCAGCCCTCTAAGGGTTTATTCATGTCAGGAGTCCGTGACAGTCTTAATACATAACTTACGCCAATACGTGACATGAGTGCTTTATTACAAAATTTTTGGATTGTTATTATATTTTTTTTATCATATAGATATAAATATATCTTATTATATTAGAGATATACCGATCTTTACCACGATATTCAAAAACTGGTGTCTCAAATACAACATCAACCATCGCATTGAGTAAATAAAAATTAAATTTTAAGAATATTAAAGTAAAATGAAAACTAAAATAATTAAATAAAAAATTAAATATGTATGTTTTGTTATATAAAATAGTTATTATGATTAAATATATTATTATATAACTCGGAAGTTGATGACCTTAAAAACATTAAAAAATGACCTAAAAATGTTTGCAAATATTTGTTTTAAATTAATAAAAACACATTTTTTTTTTAAATATTTTACTCTATTTAATTTTAAAATTCTACATAAATTTATCAAAACTTACAAATTACACAAAATATGACATAAAAATGATAACAAATGTCCTTAAAATATGAAATAAAAAAATTACAAACATTGGTTTTATATATTTATCAAAGCTTACAAATTACTCAAAATTCAAAATCATTAAATTGTACAATTAGAGTATATTTGATGTTATCAAAAGTAAATGAACAACGATTATCTGTTTATAAATATTTAAATTTGAAAAACTTCTCTCCACATCCTCCTTCAAGTGATTGAAAGACGCAGACGAGCACTAACTGACGTTTTAACTTTCACCATTTCGAAAATATTACGAAAAAATAATAAAATTTAAATATAATAGGATATAATACGCGACAAATGTAATCAGTGAGATAAAATCGGACAAGTCTTAAGTTAGCAGCATAATGTTCGATAAGAAACGAAAAGAAGTGAACTAGTGTGAAAGCAGTAAAAATTATTGAAAATATGGAAAAATTACCTAAAAATTTAAAAAAATGACTTGAAAAGTAATAAACACAAAAAATACAAAATAAAAATTAGTTATTTCGATTCACATGCTAATGAAACACATTTGTGGCCAGGGCATCGTCTAAAAAGTTAAAAAAAAATGCAAAATGAATCAACTTTTTTTATTATATTATTACAACATGAGATGTTTTGTAATAAAGAAGTATCAAAAAAAAAAAAAAAAAATTGATAAAGGGATTCGTGATTTCTAAAATCTTTTATCTGTGGCCTATGATCTACAAAAGGTCAAGAACCGCTAATTTAAATGATAAATAACTAACATTTTAATATCGCCTTGGATACCCAGTAATACACGAGTACAGAAATTAACATCAACTAACGTCGATTACTTAAGTTAATCCAAAACGTTGGATAATATTATTATTTTAATAATTTTTTTCAATGATGTTTATTATAAATGGTTTCTATGTACTTATTAATTGTATTTGGAAGTTTAAGTATTCATCGCGATTCATTAATTTTTTTCCAAAATAGAAAATCAACTATACATTAATTCAAATATGAGTTTTTTCATCATAAAAATATTTATTAACTGATCGACGTCGTCGTGTTTTATTTGTAAACATCAAACACATTTAAATTGTACAGTGCAACAATGCAATATGAATATTATTAATGAGAATATTTTAAGTATATTTTTTTTTATTTATACTTCTCTTTTTAATTTATTTTTAATAATTTTATATAATACTTAAAATATAAATGTATACTATTGTTTATTAATATTATAATTTAAAATTTATATTTTAAATTACTATTACACCCATATCTCTAATAAAAATTATAATTTATAAATACATTTTTCTGACTTAATTAGTTCTTTAGATCATTTTTAAGGTAATTTTTTGAAGTTTTTAGGGCATTTTTGCATTTTTTAGAGAATTTTTGGGTGTTTTTTTAGGTCATCAACATCCTAACTCTAGTTATTATTGTTGTATTAAATACAGCCTTATCATTATACTAAATACAAAAGAATATATTTAATTTGAATATAAATACCTATAATAAATTATTATTAACTTACAAATGGATTTTTGATTGGCTCATATTTAAAAGTCCTCTCGTTGCAACACGGATACCGCCCTAAAAATATATAAACATAAATAAGCATAACTGATTAACAATATTCACATTAATTTAATGGTACTAGATACAAACGTATTGTTATAAATAAAAAGACAATTTTAAATTTTTTACGACTTAAGACAAATTTAAAATTATAGCAATATATGTATATATATTTACAAATATAATAATAAATAATAATATAATTAAAATTAAAAATAATAAATAGTTAACACTCATAAATTAATATATATAAATAAATAAATAAATAAATAAATATATATATATATATATATATATAAATGTAATAATACTCCAGGCTAAGCATGTATTTATTTATTTATATACTAGTTTATGACTATTAACCATTAACAAATTTTTATTTTATATTTTATTATTGTATTATTTAATAATGTATACTTTGTAAATTATGAAAATTAAGTTTTTTTTAACTCAAATTTAAACTATAGCTTAAAATTAATACTTACATAATATGAAACACATAGTCATACCTATTGGATAAAAAAGATATCGATTGTTTTCAACTGGATAATACTGTGGCAACTGTGTGTGAAATTGACACCACCTTTGATTTTTAACCGGATACATTTGTTGACAACGTGAACAACGCATAAAATGACATTCTGACCACAAAGACCAATATACTATTCGCCAACACTTATATTTTGAAAACATTGATTTCACATGATCATTTAATGTCCACTTTGGATCTCTGTAAATTATTAAAATCTTATATATACATTAAACTATAAATGTATGTTATAAAATTGATTATACATATTACATGTACATAGATACATGTAAATAATCAATTTTATACCTTATTTGTAGTTCATTTGAGATACAACTTGCTAACCAAATGTTCACGATTGCTAGTGATAAATGATTACCCAAATTCAATATACATTATTACGTACTTCCATTGCTCATAGTATTATTTCGAAATTTATTAATTATTTCATTCCCATTTAAGTATTTTCAAAAATATATTTCTATTCAGTAATTTAAATTTTTTAAATCTTATACTTAAATTACAGCATTAATTATATATATTTATAATATAGTTTATCTAAATATAATATAACTATCTGCTTTTGGGTACATGGTTTTTAATTGTATTATTATAAAATATTTTAAGCAAAACTTAATATTATAGGTACTTAAACATTTGACTTATGTAATTTAGTTGTACATAATATACATTATGTACATATTTAAAGTTTTAATAATAAATACAATGACAAAAAAAAAAAATTACCTAAAATGACAAGCAATCACATTTCCATTATGAGCGACTTTAAAAGTTGGTGGCTTGCACGGTATTCTACCCGCCACACTTGGAACCAAAATTGTATTACAACGACAGCAACTATAAATAAACCAATAAAATTACTGTTATGTTTTGCTACAAAAATATCTTGTTATTTAAAAATAAATTTGAAAGTTTATAGAAATTTCGGTGATTGTTATTTAAAAAATATATTTTTTGCAAAATATTTTCATAAGCTTATAAAAATATAAATAATTGAGTGGACAGAAAAAACAATTTTTATAATTTTTGTATATAAATCATTTTGAAAAACTATGAATTTTTTATAATATTACATAACTTTTAATTAAATATGAAATATTTAAATAACATAAATTAATCTGAATATTATACCTATTATATATTATTACCTTATCTATACTAGTTCTAAACTAATGAACACATTTTAATTTAACTTCCCTGTATTGGATTTATAATTAATGGATATATAATTAATATTCTTTTGTATTATTTATAGACATTTTAAATTATAATATATAATTTAATTTACTAACCGAAAAATTATCTAATTAATTATTTTGATAAGATATATCCTAATTTTTGTAGAATATATTGTAATTTAATATGATAAATTATAAGGTATATGAATATATGATTTCAAAGAATTTATTGTTTTCGTAAATAAATACAAGTATTTATAATAATGTATTTATAGTACAGCATTATAATGCCTTGCATATTTTCCTTGTGCATAGATAATTTTTTCTAACACAAATGTAAGCATGAAAACATTTATAATAATACATTTAATATCAAATATATTGTTGTATCTATATTTCGTAATTAAAAATAAATTATTATTTTTTAGCACTTTTACCAATAATCATTTAAATTAATTAAACATACTTATCATTAATAATATTTAATGCTAATACATATAGATTAATTTTGATGAATTAATAAAATTTCCCAAATTCTGATAGTTCTATAGATATAGATTTAAAAATTTGATTATTGATAATAAATATAAAAACAGATTTAGGTAAATGCATCAAAAAATAAACAAAACCGAATTTTTTGCAATTAAATTTATAAGTTACCGAAAATTAATATAAGCATTTATTTATTTAATTTGTTATGGAACTTGAGAAAAAATTTTAAAGATTTTTATCCCCAAAAGAAATGTTACAATTACCTAAAATATTTTTAAAATCCATATTACAGTAATGGTTATGTAGTCACAGTGTACTGAAAAAAATGTTGACACTTGTTAATTTATTCAAATAAAGGTACTTTGTGTATACTTATATTATTTCTACCCCTTTTAATACTTACACGAGTATCAAAATTTGTTACATAAACTATTAATTTTTATTTTTTAACTTTTAAAATACAAAATATTACATTTTCGGTCAATCATTTTAAATTTATAATAATTTTAAAATATACATTTATTTATTTTTTACAAATGATTTTATAATTAAAAATTAGTAATATATCAATTTTTAGACATAAATCTAAGACTTTCAAACTTCCAATTTACCTAGTTTATTCAAAGACCATAATTTTTATTTAACTTACTAGTATGCATAAGCTAATGTACTGTAGTGTCCTGATTCTTGTTTTGGATTTCGTTTGCACAAATCCCAAATTAATTTCGTGAACAAACGTGATTTTAATTTATCCTTAACATCTACCATATTTTCCACATCACAGTTATTGAACTGATTTGATAATCTAAATAAATAAATATCCACGATCACCAATTTCAAAATTAAATTTGATTGAAATAATGATATAAATTTACTTAAAAACCTTGTTATAACTCCATCATTGACACATCCAAAACTTGCTGAAGAAGATAACACATCATTTATATTATTTTTACAAAATAGTAAACATTCTAGAAATAAAGGTTCCATTTGAAGAAATGACGCAGATACTAAAATTGGTACTACATTTCCATTATCTGGAATACATATTAAATAATATTAAAAGTTTCATTTTTGATTAAATACTCTGATTTCTCATAATCAAGCAAAAAATTTTTTATATTTTTTTTTTGATTATAACGATTAATACCATTCAATTGTAGTCTATGTTGTCCCAATATAACTAAAAATGTATCTAGATAAAGATAAAAGATAATTGAATATAAAATATCTAGATAAAAGATAAAACACTCTTTATCTGGATGTAAAAGGTAACATTTTTTTTAATTTTATTAATTCATTTACACTTTGTAGGCATTTATAATTTTATAAAACAATTCATTACAATTTATATTATACTTATTATGGAGTAATATTTATGATTTAAATATTAAAAATTTAATTCAACCATTAACTGTATTATTTAATTATCTTTTTTAGGAATCAAATATTGTAAGAGTCATTAGAAAATATAAATTGAAAACTCTTTATTAAATATGTGAAAAATTCTTAAAAATAATACTTATAGGCACAATTTAAGTATAACTAAACATATATTGCAGTAACACAACTTTTAAAATAATAGTAATTAGTAGAGCATAGGACTTGTAGCATTTGCATATTATTTTTGCACAGTCACAAAAATAGCAGAGTGCGAAACAAATACGTTTCATGCTTCCACAAAACTAGTTTTGAAATTTTATTGTGCATATAAATGCATATTTTGTGTTTTTTTGGTTTTTAGGGCATATTTTTTCTATTTTATACTTTTAGATGCATATTTTAAATAATTTATCATTTTATCAATATTTTTTCGTCGACATTTTTATTTATAATATTTATACAAACAAAATAACGTTGAACTTAAAATTATTTTAAATTTTGATTATAATATTAATATGGTTTTTGACTATTCCCAGGCCCATCATGGTTTTATTAAAAACACGTCTCGAGAGTTGTTGATTAGATTGATTGTCGGGTTATTTATTTTATTTATATAAAAAAAATAAACAGATGAAATAATATTGTTCAACGCACAAAATGATACGGGCCACGGGGACGCCGGTCGCCGACATCGGACATATTCATATTTCAGTAATCGCTGCGTTTCTCAATAGTTGACAGTCCAAACACGTTCTATTTACTATTTATTATAAAAAATGCCTAAAGTAAGTATCCAGATAATAAAACTCATAAAATAAACCCAATTAATTAATTGTAACTTGTAACTTGTTAAATAAAGTTGTAAATAAAATGTATTCATTATAATAAGTATATACAGAAAAATTCTTATTTTTTGTTCAAAAAAATTCATTTTAAAAAGCATATTTTGTATATTTAAGCGCATATTTTTAATGCATATTTTTTATATTTAAGTGAATATTTGATGAATTTTTAGAGCTACAAGTCCTCTGCTCTAGAAATTAGTTATAAAGTTAATAAATTAATAATATTAACAAATTTTTTGAATAAATAGATGAATAATGTTAGATTCTTATTTTATTGAAAACTAATTTTATTTAGATTTAATAATTAATTAATAATAATTTAATAAATAATTTATTTAGATAATTTTTCTAGATAATACTAAACACTGATTGTAGTCCTTATACCATGCATTGATAAATATAATCACCATATTACGCGGCTAATTTTTTGAAGAACATAGGTAATTGCAAATTATTATTACCATATATTAATTATTATTAATAATTTATGCAACTATTGTACACATTTATTATACTACTTTTATATTAAATAAATGAATTTTATACATATCAGATTTTGGTTTTAATCACCTGATGTGATAATACTTTCATATTTTAATTTAAAAATAAAATCTGTATATAGCTATATAAGTTGTATATATAATAGTTAATACACTATCCATATGGATATATGTGCATATACAATATCCTCGTATAATTACTAATAGTTTTAAATAAACTTAATTGTCATTAAATATGTTATCATTTAATCAAACGATAAAATTTATATTTTTCCAGGTACTTATATTATATTCAATTATGTAAACACTAGTTGATGTTCTATTTCTATGTAAAGTGTAGGTTATTGACAGGACCGTCGTTACGATTTGCGAGGTCTTAGGCAATATCTAAATTGCAAAATGAGAGGCCCCATAATTTGTTGTTGAATAAAACTAATAAGATTTCCTATCACTAATAGTAATAAGACTATGAAAATCAAAAGCGTGGATAGCGTTTAAGATTTAGGGAGCATAGCCCTCTGACTATAAACCTGCATCTATATGTCCAAAAATGTGTAATTATACCTAATATATCAATAGAATTAAGTCCAAAAGGTAGTTACGTAAAGTTGATTATGTTAAGTCAATCAATCAGGATATCTTCTTTTATGTATACTATATATAAATTTAAAAGAAAAAATAAATTTTTTTAACAAAAAATGTAATTAAAGTGTTAAATTTACAAGTGATTAACTATACATTAATAACAAAATATGATTGATCATGAAAACATTTTTTTCCTAGATTTTTTAGCTGCAAAATCATCAATTATTAAGACGAAGTTGAATTTTGAAGCCATTTCATTTTCTATGGATAACATTGCTAATTCAGATAATCTGTTTTGCGTCATTATATTCTTCAAGTATGTTTTTATAAGCTTTGGTTTTGAGAATGATCTCTTAGCACTTGCAGAAGTAACTGAAATCGTCAAAATGATTCGGAGAACAATTGAAATATTAGGAAAACAACTACGAGCTTTTTTTATCACTTCCAATTCATGCTTGCAAATTAAATCGTAATGATTCCCTTTTAGTATGGCAATTATCGGGAGTATTGGGTGTACAATTCACAGAGACCCCCGGTTTTGTGGGGCCTCGAGATATCTTCTGATATCACCTTTGCCTCTTACAATATTCTTATATTATCTGTAATACACACATATTATATTATTTGTTTTAATAACATAATTTAACAATAAATAATAACATAAGTCTGGAAATGTTCACATGGGCCCCTTATCATCAAGTTGCACCACTGTTCCCTTCTCTGCACACTCCATTTAGAAGAAAAAAATCTATATTCTATGTTTTATTCTCTTTGATTGTCTTTCCCTACCTATCAAACGCAATATCCTTATTAGTCTCTCAATAACCCATTTAATACTTTCAGAGTTCTAAATTTCAAAATCTGTTCTCATTCTAATTATTTCCTTCATTCACGAGGCTGGTTTCTGTATATAATCTTTTATTATTTTAATATTTTTATGTCATATGTTTTATTTATTGCTAAAAGCTTTGTAAATAAAAAAAAAATAACTTTATAGGTAGAACAAAACATGTAGATAACAACTTATCATTCTAAACCGGTATAATTTATTTACGAATTACATTTTTTCGATTGCGCAAAAAATTACTTACGTTTTTTAAATAATTGCTGATGAAAAATAATTAGGTACCTTTGCAATTTCTTTGTTCATGAACTATGATGTGAATATTATCATAGACGGGTTCAAAATAAAATCGTGCAACTCGAACGTACAAACCGATGTTCGTTTATGTTATTAACAGTGCATTTTTTAACTAGTTAACTAGGCGACACAAATGTCATCCAGTGATAACACTCTGTTGACAGTATTTTAAAAGATTGAGCAAAATAATGCGAAACAAACGTGTAATACTATAATTGTAGTATGGTATTATACATTGACTTTTTGAGAAAAACATTTTTTGTTGCCCAGTGAAAATTCCTTATAAAATGCACTGGTTATTAATGTTATTAAATTAATTATATCAAGTAACAATAATAATAGAATATAAATGATACATTATTGGTAATTTATCATCTCTCCGATTTCGGGGCAAAAATAAATACCAATACTAAAAATGAACTATCAACACCGTCAATCAAGACAATGTTAATAATGTCGACTACGATACCATGGCGTTAAACGTATTAAATATTTCGAGTTAAATAACATAGTTAACTTTCAGTAATATTACTTAGATTATGAAAAAGCTTTTGGCGCCCCAGTGTTCATAGCACCTGGTACATATGCACCTCTTGCACCCTCCTAGGCACGGCCCTGCTTACATAATGAGTCCGGATCCATTTGTAGAGACTGACGAAATAGAAATATGAAACAACTCGTCGAATTCTATTGACTTATATAATATTAATATAATATTATTATACTTATAATATTATATTATAGTAATATACTATAATAAACAAATATAGATAAATATATAAAACTAACAGCTATTAATATCCACGTGCGTAAAACGCGGCATATTGTCGTACTGCCGTACTGATTAGTCATTAACAGCAATAATATTATTATGTTATCTTGAACTGGCACCGGTGGAGTGTAGGCTACAAGACGTTTACAACGATAATAATGTATTAAAAATAATGTTTTAGGTAGGTACTGCATTAAATTTAAATTATACTACAATAATCAATATATAAATTAAAACTCAACTGCATAATATTTTTCATCATACAAAATACAAATGTTGAAACGTACATTGTATCATTTGATTAAAAAATAATATCAGTACAAAACTAAAAATATGTAATAATTTTGAATAATATTTTGCTATCAAATATAAATGGAAATTGCAAGGCCCCTACAAGCGCGAGGCCCTAGGCAAATGCCAGCACTGCCTACCCTTAACGACGGCCCTGGTTATTGATTGCTATTCAACAAACTTATCAGACTTTCAGGAAATACAAATTCTAATAGTATATTATTTTTTCTTATCCAGCTAATAATATTATTCGTTACAAACGTATATGAGTAATTTATCAAATGATTTTATTTTCAAATTGACCAAATCATATTGGATTACATACAGTGGCGTAGGTAAGTGGAGAGTCAATCCTCCCCACCATTATCAAAATTGCAGCTGTAAATAAATAGGTAATAACAAAAATAACTATTACTTAAATATATCACCCCGCCCCATAAATAATCTTAACCTACACCCTCGATTACAAAAATATTAATAATTCCATCCAATCCAATCCAATCTGTACATAAACGTATTTAAACATTAAACATATTGGTTTTGACATTTTGACTTTTTAGCAGATATTAAGTGCTTAGATCAAGAATTATAATTAATATTATGTAGATCTAGAGTAGTGGCATGATTTTGAAACTTTAAGGGCTATTGATAATTTCTGAACCAAAAATCAACACTTCTTGTTTTAATAATTTACTTACTTCTAAGCTATGTTTAACAATATGAATGGGTAATTTAATTAAAAATATTGTTAGATCAACTAAATTATATTACACGCATTAATTACATTTTAAGATACTAAATTTTAATTCTGTGTCATCCACCGTTGAGCTCGCACATTCGTCACATCGCGCATGTAATTACTATCAGTATTATTATTATTTAATTATGTTATGTGTGTTAGCACGATATATGGAATAATCCGTCATATCTTGTCTATTCACATGATTCATTTAATTCGAGGAATTTGTCATTTTCCTCTTCGATCAAACTAGATGTAAATTGAATAAAAAGCAAGACTTTTATGTTGTCAAATCGTTTTTCTTTCCTCTCCGACGACAATCTCCTCAGGTGCGTGAAGTTAGCGGTAAAATTCGAGCTCTAATTTTCGCTATAACACTGGTATTTAGTGCTCAATTAATGTTATTTAATCATACTATTTTCATAATTAGTGCTATGACCAGTAAAAAGTTACGGGTGGGCTATAAAATCCGCTATAGTCCTAGGGAAAATTAGCACTATGCAATTTTGAAAATGGCGCCTTTTAAATAGCACAAATTGAGCACTAAATAGTTGTGTAATAGCGAAAATTAGTGCTTGAATTTTTCCGCTAACTACACGTACCTAATCTCCCTGTCGTTTTTAGTCCTCCTCCTGTTACTAACCTAACCTAACCTGAAGCACAACTTGAATCTACGACCCCATCACCAAAACACTTTGGTGATGAAAAGAATGAGCTTGCGAACTAAATATCACCTCTAATATTTATAAGTAATCTTACTAACTACTCCGCGCTGAAAACTGGTTTATTTCTCTAGTGGGTACAAACGATTTGGGAACTCTTTAGTTGGGTCCCGAGATATTTGATTGCTTAAAAAAATACGAGTTGGGTCCGTGGTGTTATTTGATAATACGCGAATTGGGTTCACGGTTGATTTTATCTTGTTGTTATCTTAATTACTCAACTTAAGTTTTTCCAGTGAAAGATAAGTGTTTTAAATTTCTTCCATAATTTTAACTATATAATTATAAATAAACTATTAATAATAACATTAAAAATAAATACATTTTTTTTCTAAAATCAAGCCAATTCAATAATAATTTTTTCACACAAAAAAAAATTCTAATTGAATAATAATTTTTATATTTTAATAATGTTTACATCAGATCGTTACCTTTGTTTAACAAAAAAACCAAATTTTTTGGAAGACTTTTTAGCCAACCTCCACATGGTATCTTCTGGGTAACGATAATAGGCTGGACCCAACTCATGTAGTCGATAAAATTTATGGGGACCCGACTCATGTACTCAATAAAATATGTCCGGACCCAATTCATACTATTTTTGAAATTTAGGACCCAATTCGAGGTTATCCAACGATTTTATGGCTACCACCCAGGGTACCTTCCTAAATATTAAATCTCGTAGTCGTGTTGAGTACTTCAAAATTGATGATTATTACAATGATTCAGATTTAATGTCCAATACGTGGGTACTCCGTCATACCTGTTCAATCAGAGTATTTATCCGCCATCTGCATCATACATCTACCTACTATTCCCGAAGAGAATATCGTTACGGCCCTCGGGGATTTAGGTTTCTCCGTCATAAGTGTGGTAAACGTTCGCCATAAAATAAGCAAAAAAGCTCTACCACTTTTTACAATTGTTCTTGATCCAAATGAATTCAGAGAATTTATTTACTATCCTCCCTCCTAAACTTTAAAATAGTGGTCGAACAACCACATCATTCTCATTTCCCACCACAATAAAAACGGTGTCAGCGATAATGTCACACACATATCTATTGTAATCAACCGCTAAGATGAGTTAAATGCAGTAACGAACATCTCGCCGAGGACTGCGTCAAATCATAGGAACTATCTGCGAAGTGAACATTATGTTCTAATGCATATACTGCAAATTTTAAAGGCTGTCCATCTTTCAAAAAAAATTTCGAAGACTTTTCACAAAAAAGATTGCGCTATTTTCATCAATAGTGGTAACAAATTACTTGCCAGCTATAACTGAGTCTCCGCAAACACCCGATGCGAAGAAAAATTTAGATCGAAGATGGTATACAAAAGAAACTTGAAAAAATTTGAAAACTGAACTTATTTCAAATATTTTATCTCAATTTGTTACGCAATTAAACTCTTTCATTACCACATTAATTTCCCATTCGTCAACACTCTTGAACACATTACCTTCTAAGAATACCTCTTTAATAACCCATGTCCATACTTCATTAAATCCAAAATCACAAACATAAATTCTTGTCATATGGTTGTTACATTTATTATGATGCCTTTATCTTCCTTGAATAATATTCTAGTTTCCTATATTACTATTATCATTATATATATTTAATCTGTCAATATTAACCATTTAACATATGTTATTTTAATTTTAATTGGACTGACTAAAACATTGAATATATTGTAATTTTTTAACTAAATAGTTATACTGATAGCTAAATAAAAAAATAAAAAGTTACTTGATTTAATTTTTAATATAAACTGTAAGCGGTACCTAAAGACGGCCACTCATTTTTTGGTTTCAAATCCTTCTTAACCCATTTTATTAACCAATCAAATATTGGTATTTCACAATGTACTGATATATCGATATCTTCTAGTCGTTGTCCTAAAACATAATTTCAAACTAATACGATAACAGTATACAACATTCTATAAATTAGACCTACCTTTGGTAACTTCAGAAAAATATCCCATTTTAGAAATAAGTAGGCGTTTAGGACATCGAAAAACTTTTTTTTAATTTTTGAACTGCATCACATACGTTAATTTCAATCTCAGTACTTGAATTTTTTAATATAAGTAATTAATTTATGATTGTAAAAAATGAAAATAAACTGTAATAAAATGTAATAAACTGTACTAAAATAGTCAATATAGGTACTTACTCTCCTTTTGATCTTGATAAGTTTTCCGTCGCATTACATTTTTGTTTTAAACACAATTTGTCTTTACTTAAAGAATTACTTGTTTTGGATCCAAAGGATTCAAACGTCTTTAAAGCATTTGTGGTTAATGTTTTTTTTTACTATAAATGGAAGTACCGAATCTAGTATACCCTCATTCATAATTTCTTTTAATTTGTGTTTGAGAATATATTGTATTCGTTCAATACTTGTACTCTGCATTATTATTTTTCCTTCTTCCTCTACTGTGTCGTATTTTTTTACTTAATAGTCGTGAGAATAAATTATTACGAGATATTTCAGTCCAATTTATATGGGTGTCATGTTTTATGTTATCTTTATCTGTAGTTAGAACGTCATTTATTCGATAAGCTAATATTAAAAAATCTAAAAATTCTTGTAAATCAATTTGGTCGTCTTCAGAAGTTATGCACAAGGCAGAATCCAATTTATTTAATTCATCAGTTGATGAAGTCATAACTTATGAAATATCAATTTGCATTTTAGTTGATTGTTTTATGAAACTGCACATAAATTACAATAGACACTCACAAAATCTTGTTATTTAAACTAATTTGAGCAAATAGTGACTAATACTTAAAGCTACAATTGTATATTAATATAATGAATGTACTGTATATTTATAACGTTTATATTGAACTATTGAACTTGATTAGAAAAGAATAAAAAAAAAAAATTATTTTCGTGAAAAAAAAATAATGATTATAACCATGTTTGTTTGTTTCTATGGAAACAAAACTACAAAAAGGTTTTGTAAACTAAAACATGATACTTATTTGGTTACCAATAGATACAGAAAATATAAGATTCAGTAAAATGTAATTTTTTTATTGGTGTCCAACATATCCTATTTTAGTATATTTAATTGCTTTCTTTTTGCCCTTCTCTCAAAAATTGTTATTTTCAAAAAGTTTATACTTCCAAATACAATTGATTTTTAATTGGTTGCTTTTTTATTATTAATATCGGTTATTACTTCAAAACATTTTAAACATTTTTTAAAATTTTTAAACATTATTAAACATTTTTAAACTTCTTTACTGATTTCAAATCTAAGTCAAAATAGACTATCATGTTACCATGTTACCATTTAATTCCACACTTTAACTAATAATAAGTACTTATAGAAAAACCGAGAAACCCTTGAGTATTAAATTATATTTATACGTATATATTATAATCACATAACTTTATCAGAACTTTATCACATAACACATCTTACATCTTGCACAATAATACGAAAGGGTATAACACGATTGCGTACGTTTATCCTTTTTGGCAATACGATTGGGTACGTTTATAGATAGGTAACAAAAAGGTGGGTAAGAAGAATAAATAAACACGATTGCCTATGAAATTTTATGCAACGTTGTCAAATTCACTAATCTCATCGTATTATATCTAAATATAGAATACATGTACAGTTCTATAAAAGTTAATAAAAAAAAAAATAATAAATAAAACAAAGATAACTAAATAAGTCGCCCATATTTTTTACTTATTTTAAACATGTGAGGGCTGAAGAAATTTTAGGATCTAGTTACGCCTATGGGTATACCAATACTGATATGAAAATTGGCATCAATGCTTAAAACTTAAAACTTAAAACCTAACCAATCGTGTAGCTTAAAAATGTATTATTGATAACGAATGTACGCAATCGTATCTTACCCATTAATATATTCCATTAATTCCAATAGATCCATTGAATGTAGTGAAATAAAAAATTAATAATTTGTTTGCGATTCAATTTCATACGAACGTATTCATAGACGTATTGTTGTATACAATGGCTAGTAGGGTAATAAACGTTATATAAATTTTTTATTAAAAAACGAAATTACATATTTAATTTAGAGATTATCCATGAACACAAAGGCGTAGATACAAAGGGAGCTATGAGGGCTAAAGCCCCGTTTACACATTAGATAGATCCATATCGTATCGCTGGTAACGAACGTACGCAATCGTATTGGGTATGGTCGAATTGCACTTATATTAGTCGAATTGCACTTGGGTTTAAAAAAAGGTAAAGGTCGAATTGCACTAGGCTGAAAATTAGGTAATGGTCGAACTGCGCTTGGGCTCAAAAAAGTATTTCAATAAAATTATCATGCATTTGAAGGAGTTAGATTTACTTTATTAAGTTACATTTATTACCATTTAGTAATCATTAACGTGGTTAAAAATTATTGTTTTATATATCACATTAATAATGTTAATTATATATATTTCTTCTTCTTCTTCTTAGGCTTAAAACAGACCATTTAGGTCTAATGCCGCTTCTACAATACCTCTCCAATGCATTCTATCAATTGCCAAATTGATGTTATAAGTAGGGTCCACTCGTGTCAAGTCTTTCTTCACTGTGTCGAACCATCTTTGCCGTGGTCTCCCTATGGTTAGGTTAGGTTAATATTTTACATTATATTATATTATATTATATTATACAATTTTTTTTTTTTGTCATTTCGATCATTTTTTTGTAGTAATGACTAACTGTACTTAAAAATTCTACCCTATTAATACGTTTCTGAGTATATATGTTATTATTATATAATATTATCTGCGTTATCTAAATGACACGAACTAATATATAATGCTAAGTACGCCGTAATATTCTTCAACAGAAAGATTTCTAATATTTTTAAAGAGTTTTCCATTTTAACTCTTTTTTTTGAACGAGTGCAATTCGACCACTACCTGATTTTTACTCGATTGCAATTCGACTATTACCTTTTTTCAATCCAAGAACAATTCGACCATTTATTTGTAGGTAATAAGTGCAATTCGACTATCCCGATCGTGTTTTACCCATACGATATTTCACCAATATCTATACGAGAACTGTCTTGTGTTTCGGCTGATACCGAATTCCGTCCGGGAACCCTGCAGGGTGAAAACCGGAGTCTAAATTCCGTCCTGCAGGTGGAACAACTATATTCGAATTTCGTCCTGTGTCCCCTACTACTTAACAATGCTAGTAACTATTATAACTAAGGTAACTCGATAAATGTAGCTCATCGGTAAAATTTCCCTTCACATTTTTTTTCAGACTTAGAACTGACAACTTTGCTGGCATGTATAAAAATATATCTTAGTTTCTGAATGAAACGAGGAATATATTAATTTTAGTTTTTTATTTTTTTTTATATAATTTTTTAATATAAACATTTAATAAAGTTATAATCAAGACTCCGAATTACCGATTTTATATCATATACTTTTAATAATTATGCTATCGGTCTTTATTGGATATTTTAAAATATCTAACGTTTTTCGTTAAATCGCTGTAATTAAATCAATTTAGAACATATAAAGTTGGTTGAACCACTAAAATTCGTAAAAAAAAACGAAAAAAAAATGTTTACTCAAAAGTAGGGGTTGCAATTTAAGAAAAAATAATTGTATAGTGCACTAATGTAATGTACAAATTTAAGTTTAGAGACCATGAAAATATGTATTAATATCCATCTTATAAACCAGAATTTGAATTGTCTTGTTCTATGCAAAAATATCGAATGTATTCAATTAGTGTTTACACACATTTTTTTTTTCCTGTTTGAACCGGAGGCGACTCGGGAACTACTTTCGTATTGCTACCGAGCCACCACAATCATTTATTGTTTATTGAACAAAAAAAAACAATACATTACGGTCTTAGATTGTGTAGTACAATACAAATTTTGGGGGCCTCTAACCACCCTATCTTGGCTATTCAGCCCATATTAGTATTCTTAATTAAGTTTTTTTTTTTTTTTGGAAGGCGTCTCTCATCGGTTGTTTGCCTGAGTTTCCGTGCAATTGCTATCGCAACTTCTAGTTTCACCTCGCAGTTGGCGGCATAATAACATATATATATATATATATAACATAATAACAGATCCCTCATTCTATTGCTTTCTTTCTCTGCAAGTATTTGACATATTTCACTATATTTGTTGGCTCTTTCAATCAATTGTTTCAGGTGTTTACTCCAATTCTTAATTTGCTTGTGCACGTTCTTCGTCATGGACGCGAAGCTGTGCATATCTGTCACTACGCGTATTATTTCTCCTACCTTTTCTTGTAGTTCACTCTGTATTTCAAACCTCAACACAACCAGGTCGTCATCATCGATGTTTTCCAAGATGTTGTGTTTCTTCATCTTTGTGTCCATCTCTTCCCTGTTGGGCGCGCTAAACCTGATTCTTTTCATCTTACGTGGGGCCACCACATCACATCGCCCTTGTTCGGCACCAAAGGGGACCGTGATACTCGACCCCCCCCCTGGCGTTCCCTGTGCCATCCCACGGCACTGGGACTGTAACAATAATTCTGTTCTGAGACTTCATATTGGGTTTAAGGTTTTCCGTTCTCAATTTTTAACCTACTCGCAGGGGGTTTACAGTTTTCCTTCAGTGCCTTTTTGCTGGTGTTAGCAGGTGATTATAATATCTGCAGTCCCCAACCAGTTAAGGTCAGGGACGGTTATAGGAAAAGACCCCAGCCACAACTATTTAAAGTCAAAGCGAAGGGTGGAGTGGAATCTCTTGGCACCGACAAGTTGGTGAGCCCTCCCCCACCACAACAAGGTGGGTTCCATCAAGAGGGAGCGTTTACACACTGTATATACCTAACCTTACCTAACTTAACTTAACCTACGGAATTCGACTACTGCCCTATATTCTTGATATGTAACAGCAATCGACTAACATGTATATTTTATATTTTTTATCAACAACAATTAAATGAACTTTGAATTTTTAAGGTTAAAAAAAAGATTAAAAAGACAAATATTGTTTTAATAATTTATCTATTTGAGTAGGTATATACGGGCTTCTGGGTGTCCTCCCTCTTAATAAGTCCTCCCTAGCAACCCCAATACACTAATAATTTTCCCCTTAGAATGCAACCCTCAACACATATAAACCTAACGAAAACAATTACCTTTACCTTCTAATACAACCCTCAACACATACAAACCTAACAAAATCCATGACCCTCCCGTTAAAATACTATTATTTTCACTGACGAAACACGACATTACCCTTACCCAACACAGACATACTTAAAGAAACCCCCCCCTTCCCTTTAAACAATGCTTTTAAATCACAAGTCAAACTTACATCTCCTAAATACACCTCACCAGACGCGCTACGCGTCACCATCCGCAGATAACGGTAATACATGTAATATTATTTCACTGCAATAATATACATTCTATACAAAACACGATATGTCAAATCAGTTAATACAGATCTTTACAATACATTATCGAGAAAAATCGTAAATATCTATAACATGACGAAAAAAAAACAAATTTCATAATAATTTCGCAGATAGATTAGTCATACATAGCATAAGAATAATCATAACTTAAGTCATTTTATTCAGTGATCATAGAAATGTTCAAGTATTGCTTTTTTCCATTATTATAATAACGTACCAGTAGAAACATAACGAATTATACTGTCATATACCCCTCCCCTGTTACACTATAACAGTGTTATTATTATAGTACGATACAGTATCGCTAGGAGCGCTGACATCGAATCGAACGATAGACAGAAGATCCGCAAAGATTTTGGCTCGTTCATACTACATATAATATAC